AGCAAATGCAATAGAATGGAAATCATAACAAACAGTCTCTCAGAGCACAGTGCAATCAAATTAGAACTCGGGATTAAGAAACTCAGTCAAAACTGCACAACTACATGGAAACTGAATAACCTGCTTCTGAATGATTACTGGGTAAATAACAAAATTAAAGCAGAAATAAAGATGATCTTTGAAACCAATGAGAACAAAGACACAACGTAACAGAATCTCTGGGACACAGCTAAAGCAGTGTTTAAAGGGAAATTTATAGAACTAAATGCCCACAGGAGAAAGCAGGAAAGATCTGAAATCGACAACCTAACATTACAATTAAAAGAACTACAAAAGCAAGAGCTAACAAATTCAAAAACTAGCAGAAGACAAGCAATAACTAAGATCAGAGCAGAACTGACAGAGATAGAGACATGAAAACCCTTCAAAAATCAATGAATACAGAAGCTGGCTTTTTGAAAAGATTAACAAAATAGATAGACTGCTAGACAGACTAATAAAGAATAAAAGAGAGAAAAATCAAAGAGATACATTAAAAAATGATAAAGGGGATATGACCACTGATCCCACAGAAATACAACTACCATCAGAGAATACTATAAATGACTCTATGCAAATAAACAAGATAATCTAGAAAAAATGGATAAATTCCTGGACACACACACCCTCCCAAGACTAAACTAGGAAGAAATTAAATCCCTGAATAGACTGATAACAAGTTCTGAAATTGAGGCAGTAATTAATAGCTTACCAACCAAAAAAAGCCTAGGACCAACCAGACCGATTCATAGTTGAATTCTACCAAAGGTACAAAGAGGAGCTGGTACCATTTTTTCTGAAACCATTTCAAACAACAGAAAAAGAAGGACTCCTCCCTAACTCATTTTATGAGGTCAATATCATCCTGATACCACAACCTGGGAGAGACACAACAATAAAAAATTCCAGCCAATATCCCTGAAGAACATCTATGTAAAAATCCTCAATAAAATACTGGCAAACTGAATCCAGCAACACATCAAAAAGTTTATCCACCACAATAAGTCGGCTTCATCCCTGGGATGCAAGGCTGGTTCAACATATCCAACCTAATAAACGTAATCCATCACATAAACAGAACCAATGACAAAAACCACAAAATTATTTCAATAGATGCAGAAAAGGCCTTTGATAAAATTAAACACACCTTCATGCTAAAAACTCTCAATAAACTAAGTATTGATGAAACATATCTCAAAATAATCAGAGCTATTTATGACAAACCCACAGCCAATATCATACTGAATGGGCAAAAGCTGCAAACATTCCCTTTGAAAGCTGGCACAAGACAAGTATGCCCTCTCTCACCACTCCTATTCAACATAGTATTGGAAGTTCTGACTAAGGTGATCAAGCAAGAGAAAGAAATAAAAGGTATTCAAATAGGAAGAGAGGAAGTCAAATTGTCTCTGCTTGCAGATGACATGATTGTACATTTAGAAGACCCCATCATCTCAGCCCAAAATCTTCTTAAGCTGTTAAGCAACTTCACTAAAGTCTCAGGATACAAAATCAATGTGCAAAAATCACAGTCATTCCTATACACCAATAATGGAGAGCCTAATCATGAGTGAACTCCCATTCACAATTGCTACAAAGAGAATAAAATACCTAGGAATACAACTTACAAGGGATGTGAAGGACTTCTTCAAGGAGAACTACAAACCACTGCTCACAGAAATAAGGGAGGACACAAACAAATGGAAAACATTTTAGGCTCACAGATAGAAAAAATCAATATCATGAAAATGTCTATACTGCCCAAAGTAATATGTAGATTCAATGCAATACCCATCAAGCTACCACTGACTTTATTCACAGAATTAGAAAAAAGTACTTTAAATCTCATAGGGAACCAAAAAAAGAGTCCATATAGCCAAGACAATCCTAAGCAAAAAAAAAAACAAAGCTGGAGGGATCATGCTACCTGACTTCAAACTATATGACAAGGCTACAGTAACAAAAACAGCATGGTACTGGTACCAAAACAGATATATAGGCCAAGGGAACAGAACAGAGGCCTCAGAAATAATGCTATACATCTACAACCATCTGATCTTTGACAAACCTGAAAAAAAACAAGCAACAGGGAAAGGATTTCCTATTTAATAAATGTGGATGTGAAAACCAGCTAGCCATATGCAGAAAACTGAAACTGGACCCCTTCCTTACATCTTATACAAAAATTAACTCAAGATGTATTCAAAACTTAAACACAAGACCTAAAACATAAAAACCCGAGAAGAAAACCTAGGCAACACCATTTAGGCATGGGCAAAGACTTCATGACTAAAACACCAAAAGCAATGGCAACAAAAACCAAAATTGACAAATGGGATCTAATTAAACTTAAGAGCTTCTGCAGCACAGAAGAAACTATCATCAGAGTGAATAGGCAGCCTACAGAATGGGAGAAAATTTTTGCAATCAACCCATCGGATCTATGGCTGATATCCAGGATCTACAAAGAATTTAAACAAATTTACAAGAAAAAACAAACAACCCTATCAAAAAGTCAGTGAAGGATATGCACAGAAACTTCTCAAAAAAAGACATTTATGCAGCCCACAAACATGTAAAAAAGCTCATCATCACTGGTCATTAGAGAAACGCAAATCAAAACCACAATGAGATACCATCTCACTCCAGTTAGAATGGTGATCATTAAAAAGTCAGGAAACAACAGATGCTGGAGAGGATGTGGAGAAATAGGAACACTTTTACACTGTTGGTGGGAGTGTAAGTTAGTTCAACCATTGTGGAAGACAGTGTGGCGATTCCTCAAGGATCTAGAACCAGGAATACCATTTGACCCAGCAATCCCATTACTGGGTATATACCCCAAGGATTACAATTTATTCTACTATAAAGACACACGCACTCATGTTTACTGCAGCACTGTTCACAATAGCAAAGACTTGGAACCAACCTGCCCATCAATGATAGACTAAAGAAAATGTGGCACATTTACACCATGGAATACTATCCAACCATAAAAAAAAGATGAGTTCATGTGTTTTGCAGGAACATGGATAAAGCTGGAAACCATCATTCTCAGCAAATTAACACAGGATCAGAGGAAACCAAACACTGCATGTTCTCACTCACAAGTTGGAGTTGAAAAATGAGAACACATGGACACAGGAAGGGGAACATCACGCACTGGGACCTGTTGGGGCGTGGGGTGCTAGGGGAGGGATAGCATTAGGAGAAATACCTAATGTAGATGATGGGTTGATGGGTGCAGCAAACCATCATGTCACGTGTATACCTATGTATCAAACCTATTTGTTCTGCACATGTATCCCAGAACTTAAAGTATAACTTAAAAAAACATGAATATTATTCTCATTAGCTACCTTACAAGATTGTTGTATTAAATGATGTATTTTGTGGAAAAAAAAAAAAAAAAAAGAAAAGAAAAAGCCTGGGCACAGCGGTTCACACCTGTAATCCCTTTAGGAGGCCAAGGTGGGCACACCACCTGAGGTCAGGAGTTTGAGACCAGCCTGGCTAATATGGCAAAACCCTGTGTCTACTAAAAATACAAAAAATTAGCCGGGTGTGGTGGAGGGTGCCTGTAATCCCAGCTACTGCGGAGGCTGAGGCAGGAGAATCACTTGAAGCTGGGAGGCGGAGGTTGCAGTGAGCCAAGATCGCACCATTGTACTCTGGCCTGAGCAACAAAAGCAAAACTCTGCCTTAAAGAAAAAGAAGAAGTGTGTTCTTGAGGTCAAAGGTGCCTCATATAATACCAGGGAGACTAAGCACATGGCCGATGATGAAAAGAGACATAGACAAACTTCTCATTTTTTAGATGTTTGGAAAAGACTTATTACTCAAGTAGGAGTAGCCAGAAAACCTCAGAAAAGAGCTCTAGGGGGCCCAGAAGCAGAATCAGATGGAAGTGAAGTACAGAGTTCTCAGAAAGTCCAAGAGAAAAACACTTGCTGGGTATATGGAAGCCTCTTTCTTTAGAAAACTTAGCAAGATTCATTTCTTGAATGAATTAATAACCTCAATTTCAACCACTTGTATACTGACTGTAGGTGTGCAGATGTGTGCAACTGCCGACATGTGCATTATGATGTGTATATGTATATTTACATATAAATACAATGATGCATTTATATAAAAGTATCCATTTGGCATACATACCTATGCATATGCAGTATAAGTCTGGATTATTCTCCTACCATATACAAAGATTTTGCTTTGCTGTCTAAAGGCTCAATGCAATGAATGGCATGGAAAGGGCTCTATTTTCAAGGGGGAAGCAATAGAGAAATGCTGAAGGCCTCGAATAACCTGTGATGGGGTCCCATGAAAGCCACTGGGGACAGCACCAGTAAGCTTATTACTCCTGCCTTAGACAAGGGACTTCAAAGAAAAACTTAAACCCTTTCTCCAGAAATAATCAGGAAGGATCTTATTGTATTCTTTGAGGTTACCACATTCTGCTTTTCAAAATCAAATCCACAGCAGTTTATTGGTAATGTCCCACATTTGCTGCCCGACGTTGGCAGCTGCGAAAGCCAAAGAAGCATAAGACCTGATTCTTGACCTCAGACAATTTACAGTTTAGCTGTGGAGGTAAGACAGGGACACAGAGTATAATGTGGCAACTGAAAGTATAAATATTATAGATGTACATACTGAAGAAGAGAGGGGTAAAGAGCTCATTCTGGAGTACAGCAGTCAGTGAAAAGTAATTGTTCACCTGGTAATAAGAGAAGGTCTCTGAGCAAAGTCAAAGACTACAAACGTAGGATGGCTAGGAGATAGACAGATTCATAGATACGAATCTTTACCATCCTCAGACATCCACCAACTTGGTTGTTTAGGTTGTAGGGCTTACATGAGGAAGAGTGTTTAACAGATAACTCTGAAAATGTTTGAGCCTTAGATTCAGTGAGTGAGGAAGGGTGTCATTATTTAATATTCTCCTGACTTTCACCTACCTCTTCTGCAGCTGCAGCTGAGGACTTGGCTGTTTATATCACCCAGTATTCATAAGGATTCTCTGGAGAAATTTCTTGTTGGTCTCAGTATCAAGAAAGGGAGATCTTTTGAGCAGTTTTGTTTTTGGTCTTGCATGTGATAGGAATTGAATTTTAGACCAGGCCTCTCTTTAAACTTGACTGCTAGAAATGCAGGAGACAAATTTTGGTACCACTTGTAGCAAGGGTATTGGACCCTAGGAGATGCATTTATTTTGAATGATGTTCATTTTTGGCTCCATCTTCTGTGCCTCATTTTTCATTTCACACTTCTTTTTGTAGGTTATATGCTCTTGTAAGCTATCTTGAATTCTGTTTTAAGGACAAGGTAGCATACAAATATAAGGAAATATATAAATGAAATAGAGGAAGGCTTTCAGGTCCAGAACATTGCGGCAGGGAAGACAGCTATGACTGTGGCTGGAGTGATGGTCTGTGGCCGTGATAATGAGTGTGTTATTAGGGCGGTGCAGCAGTGATTACAAGGAGTCAGACAGACCTCAGTCCAAGTCAGAGCTCTGTCTGCTGTTTATTAGTTGTAGGATCTGAGGCATTTTATTCTCTAAACCTTCATTTTCTCATCTTTACGACAGCGATCTCTTTGTATCAGGGAGGGTGGATTAAATGAGGTAATGTATAGAAAGCACTTAGCACAACTGCACTCAATCATTAGCTACTGAAATTATCAGCACTACCATTTGGACAAGCAGCGGGTGGGCCGCTCGTCTTGGCCAGGTCTTCTGCGCGCACTGACGTTGTAGGAAAGCTGTCCCCACGTCTCCCACATCCACCGACGCCAGGCGGCAGCGTCTGGGCCCCATACGGTTCACGCCTGCGGAGCGCACCTCCACACGGGCAGCCCTCGTACAGGGCGCAGGGCACACGTCTGCGGCCCAGTCCTGAGAACCGCTACCTAGAGACCCCAATGCGCAGGTTAAGGCAACTTCACAACTGTCTTTCTGCCCCTTTCCCAGGCCGGACTCCGCGCTCTGATACATACAGGAGAGGCCCGCAAGGCCACAAGGCGTCTGCACTGCAATGTGTGGAGCAGCGGCCGCAGGCAATGGGGTGGAGGCCGCGGGTTGGCTGCGAGAAAAGAGGTCCCTTGGGAGCCGCTAGGCGCAGCCCGTTTCCCGGGCTCAGGTGGAGGTCGTCGGGCACGGGTGCCTGGAAAGGCGCGGGCGGGGTGGCCGGGAGCCCGCTCCCGTCCCAACTATCCCCTGAGACTCAACCCTTTGGCCGAGAGAGGTGGACGGCGGGTCGGGGTGAGAGAACCGCGCGAGGCGCAGGGTCCGGGCGCCCGCGGGAAGGGGCAGGTTTCGGGGAAGCGGCAGATTTCGGGGAAGCGCGGCGGGGCGCTGCACGTTTCCTGCAGCCGCCAGCATCAGCGTGTCAGGTGGTTGCCGGGCGGGTGTGAGCGCGCGCGCGAGGCAGAGGGGGCGCGCTCGCACAAAGTTTGTGCTTGCGGTGCGCCTCGGTCGGGCTCGCCGGGCTCGTGGGCCGGCGGGCGGCCGGAGCGGCGAGGCCCGGGGGGAGAGGGCCAGCAGGCGGCGGCGGTGGCGGCGGGGGCGATGCGCCGCACCCCGCCGAACCCGTCCCGCTGCGCTAGGTGAGCCGGCTCCGGGAGCGCGGGCCGCGGCCATGGGCACCCTGGGCAAGGCGAGAGAGGCTCCGCGGTGAGTAGAGGCGGCCGTGGCCCTCGGGAGCGCCTGTGTCCTTTCTTGGGAGAGAGGACCCCGCCCGCTGCCCCACACGCCGAGGGAAGTTGAGGGCGGAGGGGGGCCAAGGTCGGCCGGAGTCCGGGGACCCCAGCGCGAGGGGCGGACGTGTCAGGAGCGCCCGGCGCGCTGCGCCCCAGGGTTTTGAGGAGGGAGCTGGGGCTGAGGGGTGGTGGAGTGGCAGCCGCGAGCCCAGAGTTCGCTCGGCTAGATTGGCTAGGGCCGAAGCTCTTCGCGGAGCCGGCGGCCGCCCGCCGACCTCCTCCCCCACATCTCGCCGCCCGGCATCGGGACTCCCACTCGCGGACTTTCCGCGCCGCCCGCACCTGCTGGGGCGCGGGGCTCCGGCTGCGCCACCTGGCGGCCCCTCCCGGCCCTGCCCAGAACGGCCGACGGCGCTTGCTGGGAGCCCGCAGAGGTGGCACCGCTTGGTCGCCCTTGCCCTACGGAAGTTTCCAGATCTGTGGGTCGGCGAAACATATCGCCTTCCGGATGGGAAGCTGCACTCCTCTGCCCCTCACTATGATTCCAGAGAGGGTCCTGGATAACAGAAGTTGAAGAAAGAGGGGCAGTGACTGAAAGGGCTCTTAGCCAGGCAGCTTTGAGTTTGTAACGACAGGACCAGAACTGGGCACCTGCCTGGACAACGGCCTGGCCTCGGCGTAGGGCTGGACAAGGTGTGCACTTCACAGCTCCATTCACATCGACACTGATGGGACTGCGCCTTGCACCGCCATGCCCAGTAGCGGCAGGAAGCTTGCGATGCTGGACTTTCCGTGCTTACCATCCCCAGAACGAAGGGTTCTTGGCCCTGTATGCACGCCCTGCCCCTCCCCGTCCATGTATCCCCTGAGGGTCCACCACTGTACTTGGAACTAGATTTAGAGGGAGGAGTTCAGTACATTAAATGGAGTATAAGGGGGAGAGGACGGGACTGAGTCCACACTAGAAGCCAAGAGAGTCACCTTCCACTGCAAAGAAAGTAATGGAAGTTACAGTTCCCTTACTCCTTTTCATGCCTTAGTTTTCTAGGCTGGATCTTATAAAAAGCTCAGCCTGAAACTGACCTCCACTGAGATACCTGTGCCTGGAGAGGATTTCACCTAAACCAGTTTAGACAATCTCCTTCAGCAAACCTATGGGGCTTTGGTCACTTTTAGGCTCGGAAAACACCTTCAAGTTAATTTGTTTCTGTTGGGGTTTTGTTTTTTAATTTGCAAGAAAACATTTGGCTACTTTTTTTTATATGCCTTTACAGACTTAGAAGTCATTTATTCTATGGACTGTTAAAACACCCTTCGACCTGCCTGTAATAAAGCATTTATAAATCTTTGCCTGCCACCATTTCACCAGAAAAGCCAGAACGACTTGAGGATTTTTTTTTTTTACAAGGCAACCAGTCAAGAGACTGTACACCAAGAAACCCAGGTTTCCTAGTCTATGATGCAAATAATCTCCATCTTCTTAGAACTCTTAGACTGCACTTTGGCTTTTAATATTTTCTCTTCTCCCTGATTTCTCATGCCCTAGCCCTCTGAGTCTCTCTGGGCTCCATACTTCCCACATAGCTTTTGTCACCCTCTCTTCCCTTTTACTAGCCTGTACTTCACCCTAATCCCTCCTAGCTCTGGTAAACGCATCCACCTTCAAGAATCCCGCTTATAAAAGTGATTTCTCTTACTGGTGACACTAGGAAACATGACCATTTAGAAAACAGGGCAGGATTAGGAGTCTTGAATGGTCAATGACACCAACCAAGAAAGAAAATGGAATTTTCCTTGGATCAGTAGCCACCTCCCCTCTACCCCTAGCAGGAAGAGTTCTGTCTGTAGATACAGCCTCTAGCTGCAGTTGCCTCCAGGATCTGGGGAGAGGTATTGTGAAAAGTCTGAGAGAAAGACTTCCATAATGAATGACATTTTTAAAAAAGTCTTTCCCCTACTCTGCCTTTGGTGGAGGTCTTAATGGTGACAAAGGCAGCAGCTGGGGCAGAAAGCTGACTAATCCCAGCCGTGGATATGTAGCCCCAGGTTTAGAGAGTTGTTAGTGCTTCCAGGAAGGGAAGGGAGCTCACCTGGGGAGCACAGCATGGGCCACAAGGGGCTGGCTTCTAGCCTGTCTCTGCAGTGGTGAGCAGGCACGTTGCCCTTCTGACTCTGGACCTCCACACCTATGGAGGAGGGGTTTGGAAAATGACCATAAAGAATCTGTCCAGCTCTGGGGACCTGAGGACAGTTCTGAGGGCTTGCAAAAGGAATATGGGCTGAGATTCAGCCTTTACATTATCAGCTGTGCTTTTGAAGGATTTTACTTTCATTTTAAATTGAATTGGCCTTTTCAGCCTCTCTGTGATGGTCTACAACTAACCCTAATGTTGTGAAATGTGCAGAGTTCCAGGCACAGTAAATTATTTATTAAATGAATAAAGCCAGAGAGGTGCTGAGTACAAATCTCAGATTGATGATATATGAGTTTTATCACCTTGGCTATGTTAGTTACCCTTTTAAGGTTCAGCATCATGAGATGGGAATAACATCCTTCTGAGCTGTTAGCCTACGTAGCATAGGCACTCAATTCATGTCACCATTATTATTTTATTTTCGGAGACTGATCAGATTCTGGGGCTATCCCAGGGCCAGTAGAAAATCAATTATGGCCAGACAGTTGAGTCCTGTTGACTTGATCTTTCAGTAGTTACTGCCTAGGGTTAGCAGATGTCCAATAACCAATTGTTGATTCAATTTCACTAGATCTGCACCAGGTCAGAATAGAGGCCAGCGGCCATGGCACACCAGCGCTCTGGAGCTAATCTGAAACAACCTGAAGGGCCAGAGTGCCCCTGCACAGGTCCAGCTGTGTACTGAGTGGCCCCATAGTTAAGTTCTACACCATCTCTTAGCAGGCTGGTTTCCCAAAACCCATGTGTGCCTAGGATTTTATTTTGATCTAAGCACTAAGCCCCTTTGATGGAGATTCTATCTTGTCAGAGCAGCTTCCTAGGCACTCTCCCTCAAACTGCCTCTTTCTCCTCTGAGAACACCAGGCTTCTTATTCTTGACACTCATAGAACATTTATTTAACATTTACGTGGCTGTATTTTTATTATCTCAGTCTGATTTCTCAGAGTTTTGTATTAAGGAACTTCTAGACTACCTTTATGTAACAATAGCAATTAATATGTAATGAGTATATAAAGTATGTTCACCTGGACTAGCTCACTGTGGTCCTCCCTGGCCAATCACAATGCCTTACTCATGGAAAAAGCACTTAGAGGTTAATTGATGACATTATGCATTTATAATAATATATAGTGAGTAAAGTTATAGTTCTGAGGTATATATTTTTTCTTTTTCTCTTTACTGCTTTGTTAGTAAACTGTGAAATAACCAAAGCCACAGTAGAGAGAGAATTAACTAAATGCCCAAAAGAGTTACTAGCAATACTCATCACTGTTAAACCACAAAGATTATAGATATGGATGTGTGTATGTGTATTTTTTAATGGAGAGGACAATAAACTTCCCAAATCGTTTTGCAAAATGATTTGTACAGATGAGGTTGTGACCAGAGATAAAGCTGCATGTGAGTAGATGAAAACCCGCTGGGCTCTTAAGCCATTATTAGATCCAAACTTGCTTTTTTACGTTGGGTTCTGGAACAACACTCTCACAGCTCTGCTCTCTGTTTTAATCATTAAGGACCCAAGAAAGGATTTGAAAAAATGATGTTTAGTAACAAAAATGACTCATAATGGTTACCTGTATTATCAGCCGTGAAAAACAAGATCTTAAAATCAACCAAGATTTGTAAGAAAGGCAGGACTCAAAATGTAAACACCACGACCATCACCCCTCACTTCCTTCACATGGGTCCTCAGTCTCTGACTTCTCCCCTAACGTTCTTAACGGTGATTCTGAGGCTGACTGACCTTGTGTAGTATCTCAGGTATTGCTCAAAATGAAGTTAGCCCAAGTTGAGACCAGTGTAAACAATTCTTAAGATTCAAGTCAGTGGCTTAGAAGCTGAAAAAATGTATATATTGCTGGGAGCTCAGGACTTCCAGGATAGTCTTACCTCTGCCATTCCCCTTCAGGAACCGGGAGACAGTAGGACAGAGCAATCCTAATGCCAGGATCAAAAGTCCTAGTTGCAACTCTGAAATCTCACCTTTGCTGGGGAGATGTCTCTTTAACAGCCAACCAGTCTGTTTGGTGCATTTGCCAAGTGGGAGGGGTATGTCTTCTATCAGCCCAACTGAGACTAATTGTCTTATCTCCATTCCCTTCCACTCCAATCTGCCTTCAGAGTGTGGAGCTGCCAATTTGTCCCCTCACTGCCTTCTCTCTTTCCCCAGGAAACCTTCCCATGGCTGCAGAGCTGCCCCTAAAGCAAGACTAGAGGCAAAGACAGCCAATAGCCCCTTCCCCTCCCATCCCAGCTTGGCTCAGATCACCCAGTTCCGAATGATGGTGTCTCTGGGACATTTAGCCAAAGGAGCCAGCCTGGACGATCTCATTGACAGCTGCATTCAATCTTTTGGTGAGTTGGCTAACTGCCCACAGGCATAAAAATCACTCTATTATTTTGTTCTTTAAAAGTGCTTTACAGAACAGCAATCTAGATTGTATTTTGGCTTTAAAAATAGCTTTTGAGCCTTTGAAATGTTGGAGACAGTCTGCAGAGCCTATGGCACATGACTATGTGGGTGTAATAGGTCGTGATGAGAAGTACAATTTTAAAGTGAGAGAAGTTACTGAGGAGAGTTTGCATTTTCATTTTTCTTAGGATGGAGGTTTTTCTTGTGATGAAAAGTATCATAAAATGATATTGTACATCTGGTACTTTGAACCTTTTCTGTCCTAGCATTCTTCGGGCACATAAAGACTGTTGCACGAGCAAACTTTGTTATCAAACAGAAATTGGAATCATTTGGAGGAATAAAGTCCCAGTAATTCTCCTTGCAATCTGGAGGGTAGCTGTGGTGGAATAAGAGAGGACTGGGTAAAGCCAGGAGACTTGTGGCGAGAAGACATTGGTTAATAAACATTGCAATGCAGGGTCAAGGAGCTGGGAAATAAGTGTGGACACAAACATTTCAGAGGCCAAACTCCGTCAGCGCCTTTGCTCACCACGAGGGAGGCACAGCTTAGCGCAGCCATCAGGCAGTTATCTGAAAAGATTTTTCAAAATGTTAAAAGCGTGGTCTTTTTTTGGATTTTTATTTGTGAAATAGCGATTGAAAAGTACGAAATATTTCCTCCCTTCCAAAAAAATGATTAAAATTGATGGATTTCAGTGAAATCATTGAATTCAAAGATTTCCAGCTTCGTGTTCCTCCTGTGGGCCTCTTTTCACATCCCTGTGTCTCCTGTGATGAAGCAGAGGAACCTGTGTGGCTCAGCTCAGCCATACCAACCCCCACCAGCCCACCCCAGCCCTGGGAGCCTCCTGGGAAGCTAAGGGGAGGCTTAATCAGATCCCAGGCAGCTCAAAATCCATGGCATCTCAGAATGATGGACTAGTGACTGTGTTTGCTCAGACCTTATGTATAGAATTGAGAAACATTTGACATGTTAGGGATATTCATTTAGTACAATTTAGTACAACATTGAACAGTTTAAACTATTTCAAGATTGGTTTAAAGTAATGGTTCTCAAACATTAGAGTGTCAGAATCACATATGGAGCTTTTTTTTTTTTTTTGCATTGCTGGGCTCCACCCCCAGAGTTTCTACTCTAGTAGGTCTGGGGTGGGGCCCAAGAATTTGCATTTCTAACAAGTTCCCAGGCGCTGCTGATGCATCTGACCCAAGAGCCCCACTTCTGGAGTCGCTGCTTTAAAGTGCTGTTTGTTGTCGACTTTAACTTGGAAAAGAGGAAGCACTTTTAGCATTACTAGTTTAGCATTAAATTTTCATTAGATCTTTATTTTATACTTCAATCTTATTTTACACCTATTTTACACTTTAATCTTTCAGTTAAGATGGATTTGGGAGCAGAATGAATGGCTTTCTATTTGAAAATAATCTCCTTAGAAAATGTGCTGCCAGGAGATAAACTAGAGGGCAGTGGAGACCAGAGACCAGGAAGGCATGACCAATGTCCAGCTGTTGTTCATCATGTATCGGGCTTGAGCCTCCCTCCCAACTTGTATAAGCTGCAAAGTTCCTTACACTATCTCAGCAGTCAGATTTACTGGGCTTCAGCAGGCTGCTGTGACTATCTCCTGAATAAGGATTTTTATTCTTTCTGTTTCACTGTTGAAAAAAGGGGGACCAGAAATGTATTTAGCATACTACCTTCCTTCCTTCCATGCCAGTTGAGCAACTGTCAGCTGAGTTGAAGACTGTTTTTTTAATCTTCAAAGAATCGTGATATCAACCTCAAAAATACATGACTGATTCTGAAGTCCTTCCCCGCAAATAACCAAGCCTAATTCGATCCCCTCTATAGATCCTCCAAAGGCAGTGACAGTATACTGTGTTCTGGAATATGTTCAACTGAAAAAAAGTAGCTTAAAATCCCAAAGCCTTAAAAGTCCCATTGAGTCTAGTAGTCTTTTATCCATTATCAAGCAGCATTGATTAAGCCCTTAATTGTATCTGATGCTGTGCTAGTCAGTGCTGAAGAAGAATTACAGAGACCAAACTGCCCCTTCCCTAAGAGCTCACGACACCTGAGAAACATACTATTCAGGAAAAAATATATACAAAGGACAGGGTGATAAATACCAAAGGCATGCAGGAAGAGTAAGTTTTTAATACCATGTAGAGTTTGAGTAAGTGCACTTCAAGGGTGAGGACACAGGTTAAGGAGAACAACCACCATTTGTTCAAGTCCCTCATGGGCCATGGGAATGCTGTGGGAAGTCCATAAGGTAAGATATCAGAGTTTTGTGTATTATGTACTGCAGAGTTTCTCATCACAATACATGAAAGAGGCAAAAAAGAAAAGACGCTCTGTGTCTGGAAGGAACAGAAGCCAGAACCTTTTGTCTGTCTCTCTTCTTGCTCTTTGGTTATCAGTTGACCCATCTATGGGGCTGGGGCATGGAAACTGGGCTACAGCGGAAATGGAGCCAGGAATTAGCAGCAGACTTTATGACAGAGAAAAACCCATGGCAAAATACGTATCGGTGCTTCTGTAGGTCTCTTTAAGAGGTGATATGACAATAGTACGGAGTAAGGCTAATGCTTCTCCTGAACCTTACCTTACTGGTTATTTTCTTGGGTTTGCATAGAAAAGTGTTGCTTTAGATTAAAGCAGTCTAGCTAGCTTTTTGTTAATGAGTTTAGATGTCTTCTCATTTTAAACCCATGAAAAAGAAACAGTTCAGAAATGTTGGGGGGAATATTATTATCCAATTATTATTGGCACTCTTTTGCCTCAGACCGTAATTTCAGCCACTCCTCCCAGCAACTTGAATAAAAGAAGGAAAGAAACCTTTAAAGAGGAAGACTGAATAATTGTTAATTTAATTTCCACTGCCTCTCAACCTTACCTTCTTGCTTTCAGGAGGTTTGAATTGGCTACAGCTGTGCTGTCCAATGCACTAGCCACATGTAGCTATTTTCATATGCATTTCAATTAGTTAAATCAAATGTATTTAGTTTCTAAGCCTCACCAGCCGTAGGTGAAGTGTGCGGTAGTCACAAATGGCACCTACTGCTGGACAGAGCAGAGAGCATTTCCATTGTTGCAAAAAGTCAGTTGGACAGTGCTGGAGAGGGCAGATGGTTGACTCGAAGGAAAGAAGAATAGATTTTCTGGAAACTGTGGGATTTGCATTTTGCTGGCATTTCTAGATAAGAGTCTGAATATTGCTTAAAGCATCATGGGCATTCAGAAGTCTTACTGATGGCTATCTCTTTAGCGTTATTAACCTTTAATTACCACCCACATTGTTTTCAGAAGAAGGACTTATATTGCTTTTAAAGTCAGTGGCAAGTGCATATAAATTAAAAGCACTTTTGAAGGCCTCTAGCAAGCCTCTCAGTGTCACATACAAGGTTGCAGATCTGTGACTAGAAACTTAGGGCCTTGAGTCATAGTTCACTGCTTTAACCATGAAACATCTCACTCCCACCCTCTGTTCTAATCAGAGGTCATGCTTTACATTCTCAGCCTATTATTGCTAGTTAATGCCCTCTTCAACTGAGCATAATAAGGGGAATCATCACAACCTGGTAACACTTATGTCAAATGTATGTGAATCACACCATCTGTTTCAGAGGTAGAAGAGACCTATGAGATCATCTGGGCTTTTAGTTTTTTTCCCTTTACAAGAGGGCTGCCAGCATTTGGGGCCACATAGAAGGCTAAATTAACTGTCTAAATTAACAAAGCTCTTTCCTTGTTTCCCTCTCAATGCAAGACAACTTCTGACAGCACCAGAAAGAAAACTGCATACCTGCCTCAGAAAGGGATGCCCCCCCAACTCCACCCCAGGAAGGAGACCTCCTACTCCCATTGAGATGTAGGAAGAAACTCCATGCTTCATGTAACCTGTTAGTGTGAAGGGAAATGCTTCCTAATATCTTCTGGTTATGCACTATCTTATTTTTTCTTAGAGTTCCATTTGTATTGATTTTCTTTTATACTGCGAACAGCTCTGAAATAGGCAGGTCAGTTATTACTGTCTTCGTTGAACAAACAGGAAAATAAACCTTTGAGAACTGAAAGAATTTGCTTTGTGCCCCCAGTCTCAAGAGGGGACATGCTACTCCTGTTCTCCTTCCCCTACCCCTAGTGGCCACTTGCAACCTTGGCTGAGGCAAGCCTGGATCTCTCTCCTAAGACAGGTCTTCCTACACTCAGGGGAGACCTGCGTGCCACAGAGGACAGGCCTGCACCCGGTGCCCACCCTTCTGCAGCCCTGGTCTCTCCCCAGTTAGAAATGAAACGCCATTCAGTGTGAGAAATATTGATTGGACCTCATCTATATACCAGGTGTCTGCCTGATATTCTCTATTGAGCAAAGTGTGAATCAGTAAATTCCTGTATGAATTGTACTAATGCTATCCAAAGACCTTCCAAGCTAGAAATACCCCAAAACTAATAGGTATGTTTTCTCTGCCATGGAGCAGTTGGATGTTAAAAGCATTTTATAGGCCTCAGCTTATTGAAGGTAAAACGTTCCATATGTTTGTAAAATTGGAGCCACAAAAGGCAAACACACACTCAGGGCCATGGCACTCTCTGTGGCAAAGGAAAGATTAGGTATTTCTTGGCACTCTGGCAACTTGGTCTGTATAGCAAAGCAAGGTGCCCAGAGGGCAACAGGAGCATAAGATCAGAAGCCAAGGGCCATGACATCACTGGGCATATAGACCTAATAACAGGCAACACCAAGGAACAAAGTCAGTTGTAGTGTCAGGAAGGGCCCGAAGCCTTAGCCACTGTTGACAGGCCCTGTGGGAAGAACACAGCTCTCTCAGAAGCCTCCTCAGTGGAATCCCCCCAATCGCTGGGAGTTGTGGCTACAAGATTTCATGTGTAAAGGATGATTCTCAGGGGCACTTGCATCCTGAGGCTTCTAGT